CTACATAAATTGTTTTGATGTATGAGTTCCCCATGATTTAATGGAGAAAAATCTGATAGATCGCATTTCCATTTGCGACTTGCTCTATAAACGTAACGAGGAGACACCATTTTTGAAGCAAGTAGTGACGGGGGATGAAAAATGGATCATTTACAATAATGTTGAGCGAAAAAGATCTTGGAGAAAGCGGAATGAACCACCTAGCTATCCCAAAAGCCGGTCTTCATCCAAAGAAGGTCATGCTTTGTCTCTGGTGGGATTGGAAAGGGATCCTGTATTATGAGCTTTTACTAAACGAGACGATAAATTCAGAGAAGTATTATTCCCAATTAGATGAATTGAAGACAGCAATTGAACAAAAACGTCCAGAAATAGCGAAGGGCGTCGTGTTTCATCAGGACAATGCGTGATCTCATGTGTCTTTAATAACTCGACAAGTTGTTGGAGCTCGGTTGGGATGTTCTACTCCATCCACCATATTCATCAGACCTCGCGCCCTCTGATTTCCATCTATTTCGATCATTACAAAATTCCCTTAATGGAAAAGCTTCAACTCTTTGGTCGAGATAAAAAAATCACTTAGAAAAGTTTTTCGCTGAGAAATCTGAGAGATTCTGGAAGGACGGAATTTTCAAGTTGCCTGAAAGATGGAGAAAGATTGTAGAACAGAATGGCATCTATATAATTTAATAAATGTATACTAAAATTTAAATCTTCTGCATTTCAATTTTCCTTCAAAACCGGTACGAACTTTCCGGACAACCCAATATATGATAAAGAAAGAGAAAGATTTTACAATAGAAATAGATGGAGGATCGATGCTAGGGAACTAGGAGAAGATAATGAAAAGAGATTAAAAGAGAAATAATTAGAAGAGAAAGAGATGTGTAAAGACAGTGAGATGTGAGAAGACAGTAAACTGAGGACTGCGAAGGTACAAGAAGTTTGATATGGAGAATAGATGTTCCAGTTATTTAAGGAAAGAAAAATAGGTGAGGAATAGGTGAAGAAGTGAGACGGTAAGATGCGGAAATATGGAAGAAGGTAGTAAATACTGATTAGAGGAGGAATAAGAGTTGTGTATTCTGTGGAATAGGAATGGATTGCATTAAGGAACATTATATAGAGAAATGTCATAAAGTGCGTAGTTTGTTCAAGGAACTAGGAAAAGATAGGGAGAAAATGTAGAGAAAACTTTAGAGCGAAGAATTAGATACAGAAAAATGTAAAATTTTAGGTAAATTAAAGAGAGAAAAGAAAAGAGAACTGTTATTAGAAAAAATAGAACTGTTGTAGAGAGAACTAATGAGGTAGCGAACATAGAGTAATGTATTGTATAAAGGAGAGCGAGAGTACGTCTAGTTACGTAAAATATACGGTTAGAAATGCTGTGTTTTTTTTACGTGTTTTACATTGTATTATGGTAAGAGATTATACTATGTATTTTATATATTTTATATTTATATATTGGGTTATGGTTAAGCTGTGATGTGTAGATAGTACATTATAAGCGAGAGGAATCGATACTGTGATATTCGGCGTTGTGATAGTGTATGAATTAGCACAGATCTTTAGGAACAAACAAAAAGTTAAGAATAAGATATTTGCATAATGAAAATTGTAGATAGAGTTAGGTAGTGTTTTTCTGCACAGTGTAGAAGAATGTTAGAAGTATGATTAAGAAATTTAGTATAAATCAAGTTCCTTCCTGGCAGTTAAGCTGAAGAAATTAAATTCTATTCATATTATCCTGGATTAATAGGAGGGGTACACTATTTATTAAAACTTATAAATAAAATATACGACATAAAATTATGTCGATATAAGAGCTATGAGCCAAAAGAAACTTTCTTTTGGCTCATAGTCCTTATATTGAGTCTTAATATAATTTTATTTATATTACATAAGCCTTCTTTATATTTTAAAACTTATATGTTATTTAGAATGCCTCTTGCCCCTTATTGACGCCGAGCGGCCAAGATTGCCGGGAAAATATTTTCGGTTGCTTTAAACAAGCGACTAGTGTGAGAAGAAATTCGTTGTCTCGTTTACCTTTCGGCGCACCGAAGGCAAACACACGGACATAGGCTCGTGCTTGAATGTGTGTGACTACCGGTTTCGCCAAACCGCCGTTTGATTCTGTGTCAACGCAGAGTTCTTGACTGAGTACTCAGGAATCTCAAATTCGTGAATTTTTATTATATAATAAATCCTGTACAAATAAATACGCATACTTTTAATGTTATAATATCTTATACATTGTCGAAAAATTACAATTTTTTCTCTGCAGTTATCATCTTTATTGATAATCAAACTCGGATAATAACATTAAAATCACAATTTTTTAAATAATAAAATCGTATTTTATCAAGTATTATTACGTTTTAAACATATAAACATGTCTAAAATACTAATAAATCATGAAATTAGTACCGTATTATTAGTTTCTTATTCTTAAGAGAATCTTAAAGCCGTCTGTATTAAATCATATAATTTTTGTATAACAAATATTTTTTTCTCTTTCACAGATTCGAAAATCGTTTTCCAGGATTAAAGTATACGCATTAATACGTGTTTGTAAGATGGAGTTTATGCCGAGAACGACCAAAAATTTCGGAATTGATACATTTTTTATCATTTCTTAATGTAACTTGGTGTCTCAAACTATCAAATCATGACATTTGCTTGATACGAAAGTTTTGTAACCTGTATTTACAAAATAGTAATCCACAAAGTTTGTATGAACAAATAACGTCGAGTTCTTAGAATTAGATTTAGACGCTTTATCGCAAATTTGTTATATGAAAATTGACACGAACGTGCGACTACATGTATATAGGTTGTGAGATATGTAAGATTGATGTGATAGTATACAAAAAGACTTATCGATGCGCTGAAAAACAGCGATCTCTGGTGACATTGTTGGAGTTCGAGTTTTATTTTAGAATCCTCTTAATCACTTAAATTTTAACAGGCACGCGAATTATAATAAGCGCTGACCATCTTTAATAATATCTCGTCGATGACAACAATTAACAAGAAGAAAAAGAAGAAAGACGATCAACCGTGATGGTTAGTAAATGTGAATAAATGAGAATTTTTATAGGTATAGTACCACGTTTGTCAAGATGGTGACGCCGGGGCGGATGTTTTTTCGCTTCGGTCTGAGTTAATTATTATCTTAAAATAATTTTCGCCAGTCTAATTTTGGCTGTATTAATTTGGCCCCCTTCTTATTTTTCTGAGGGCACGTGTCACTTATTAAAGAAAAATAAGAATTATTAGCCATTTCCGATAAAACTGAAACATCCTTTTGGTTTTGTATCTCGACTCTCACTAGAGTCTAGTAGCAGTACTTTATAAATCTAATGACTTTACGCTTAGTAGCTGAGTATGCTGAACGCAATCAATATTATGAAGGAAAATTAAATAACTATTATTACTTTGATTGAAAATCAATCTTTGAATGATTTGTAATTCTTTTAAAAAGAATTAAGAGTTGCCGAAGACAAAATTCCGTAACAGTATCCGTAAGATAATAAATTTTAAAATAATAAATTTTAAACTCTTAATTCTAATTGGCTAATTCTTATGGTATGTCTTGGTTACTGTTGTGGAAGATGTGTGGCCCTCTAAGGCTATTGCACATAAAAGTTGTAGTCGTAATCATAAAGACCGTAAAAAACAATGAAATGATTGCCTACTGTATTGGGGCTAAGCATTGTCGCGTTCTCTACGCAGAAGCAACACGAATGAAATTTCAAAGGTGCCACAATCAAGGTGCAAGCACAATAGAAGGAATAAGGAATTAAGAATAAAAATTTCAACAGATCAGATACTGGAATATATGGTTTCTAAGGTTGGAATTGTTGTTCTTTATCTCTAATTCCTTATTTCTTATATTGTGATCGCATCGTCATAGATGCAAGCACAAGTTTTCGTCCCATTAAAAAATTGCAATTAACGCCTTATTCTTATGATCGATCGGGAGACATACAAGAACAGTCACGTGATTTACTTCGTAGCCAATCAATTTATCGCTTTTTATGGTTTTACGATTACAACTTTTATGTGCAATGGCCTTTAAAGACATTTGGATTAGAATAGGAAAGTCCTTCAATAGGAATATACAAAACTACATACTTAAGTTTCATTATATAAAAGTTAAAGATAGCATCACTTGGATTACATGCTTTATTTAATTTGGCATAGAATTTTATTTGGTGTCAGTTGTGGATATCAAATCTTTTATACAAATGATATATACCATTAAAGTTAAATAAATAATAAAAATAGTACTTGGATTTTACTTTTCAATTTGTTACAATAAAAGTACCATTTAGATTTTATAATTTAAAATAATTTTTTTTTATGAGCATGTATTCTTAGCGTCTTTTTTTACCTCTTTTATTAATAATAACATAACTAGTCACACAAATGCATTTTTAAGTAAACAAATTTTTAATTGTAAATAGAATTTATTAAATATTGTATCGTTACATTCGAATGAAGATTAATTATCTAATTAATTAACTGTTTTAACACATAGTAATATTGTATTATTAAGTAAAATTGTACCTTATTTTTTATTAAATTATTAGTCTTGTGTATTGACATGATTTCTGAGGTTGCATAAAAAATAAACAGAATTTTAGTTTATAAGATAATATCAGTAACGTTAATTACATTTTTTACACACACGCACACACATACGCACGCACGCACGCACGCACGCACATATGATTAAATGACTAAATAATTACTTTATTATTTAGTCATTAAAAAAAAAAAAAAAAAAAAAAAAAAATTATTTGAATAAAATCTAAAAATCTAAATGAAAGAAACTTTTTATACAGATACATAAAATACACAGTTTCATAAATTTATTATTTTATATCTGCGTATCTTTCTATACTCTTGTGTTTTATATATATGTGTATATGTGTATATGGATACACATATGTATTTATGTATATTATAGAAAATTATAAAACTATTTTAATAATAAGATCTCTGTTCATTCGTATTTTACTCTACATGATGCAACGTATGATTTTTTAGTGGACAAATCATGCCATCCCACTGGACCTCTCTCACAATCGGCACAAGCTAGGTACTTGACATTGCCTACTGTGTGTGACACACCAATATTTTCGAAAGTATACATATCTTCTATTAACCAATAAGCAGATATTGTTTCTGACTGATTAGCTTTGTCCTCTGCTTTGCTATGGATATAAGGTAATGCAAACTGCAATAAAAATGTTTATATTTATTATATTATTTAACAAAAAAAAATATCAGAATGAAACTAATCATTTCCTATAGTTTTTTAGATACTGAATACAAATTGTTTAATGCATCACAATTTTGATAAATTTACATTTAAAGTTGCAAAAGGACTGTTTTAATATGTTATGACTGTTTAATATGTCATATTATAATTATGATATATGTGACATACTAGAAAAATTTATTAGAATTAAAATGAAACTTGTTGTTAGGACTTTTAATCCTCAAAAAGATTTGTTAATGTCAACTATGATTAATAAGATATTCATTGTTAAATATATGTTCGTTACAAAAAAGTGAATTATTATTAGGTCATTGACGATTTATTAAATATATTTTCCATTTATGTTTAGTTAAATTAATAATTTCTTTGGACCATTCAAAATCATGAGACACCTATACATTTTGCAACAATTCAGATGTTTTTCAGATTTTAACATCAGCCATATTGAATTTATCGTTTTGAATTTGTCAATTTTGACATTGGATTTGTATATAACGGTCTGAAAAACGTCTAAATTTAAATGAATATAGTTGAAAACTATTTTTGAAATCACATCAATCTTTAATCCACAGCTTTTCCGTAGACTCAATATTAAACTATGATTATGTTATTAAAAGTAGCCGACATTAAAAAATCCTTTTGATAACTGAGTCCTAACAACATACTTAATTTTAATTGCAAAAAAAACTTCTTCAAAATGTTATATATTGCAGTTATAATATATCAAAATACATAAATATTGTCTTTTTTGCAAACTGAATTGCAAAATATGATAAAAAATTTGAAAAACGCATTCATATTCAGCATCCAAAAATTATAAAAAATGACTTTCCGATATTAGAAAAAAGTCATTTTGTGTCAAACAATGTTATCACTGAAATAAATTATTATTATATTAATCTATTAAAATATAACAATTTTTTAAACAAAACTTTAAAAACTGTACAATTTCAAAACTTATAATACATTAAATTAGGATTACTAATCATATTCTTTTAAAACGTTGTCTGCAATGAATAGTAGCAGTAGAGGCTGTAGACACATCGGGAGTAAGCTGGTGTTTTAGTCCAGCCAAAAATGGTTGATCAACATCAAATCGACGTTAATTCGATATTGATCGATCAATCACTTGTAGCTGGGATGTAATAGGGCATGCATATATATATATATATATATATATATATATATATATATAATAAGTCCGTAAGCGAAATGGTTGAAATCTATTAGTCTGCATCGACGTGTAATTAATTAATATCAATTTGACGTCAAGTGACGCTGAATCAGCATCAATGTGACGTTGATCCATCACCCATTTCTTACCGAAAAACTAGTTTATTCTCGATGTATCTATAACCTTTACGGCTGGTGTATATTGTAGACGACGCTCGAAAGTACATGTAATCTATTTGAGGTTCAAAAACAGTATATTCTTACTTTCCATTGTACTCTTTTTTTGAGAAATGAGACAAAATTTAAAACTATTATTTAATATATAAATTTATTATTTTATAAAAAGTT